GGCGATATATCGATATTTTAAATATATCGAGATAGTTTTTAAACTCGATATGAATTCTGACATATCGTATATATCGATATAATGCTTATATTCAATTCTGATTTCGCCGCTTCACTTGTTTATCTTCTCTCTCGCCACCGCCTCCCTGATTTTGTTCGCTCGTGTCTCCTTCACTCCTCACTATCGCCGTGAACGCCGAAAGTTGGTGCCAGTGAAAAACTTCAAGCACCACGAACCTTTTCCACCATTTACAGACAAAAGCATCAGCAGCACATCCTCATGTTCCACCGAGTTGCGTCCTTTAGCCCGAAAGAAGCTAAACGAGCTGAGCTGCAGGAGAAGCGCGCTGTTTATGCAAATGAGCCATGCACTTAAGTTTTGTTTCTGTAAAATGTAAACACACGTGCGCAAAACTGCATTAAACACATTATTATCGCCAAAGGTCTGATGTGGCTCTAGAGTCGTTATGCTTTATATATTGTAAAGTTTATTTATGCAGAAGATTTTAATTAATAATCTGCTGCAGTGTCACTTGTACAAAAGTGTTTGGAAACGTTGGGTTTGATCTGCAGTGGATTGTGGGATTAAACCTCAGAGCTCCTCACTGCTGGATAATAACATGGATCTATTGAAATAAGGAACATCCTGAGCTTCTTCTGCTGAAGGAGCTCATGGTTATGATTATGGTCTGGATAACAGAGTTAATGCAAAGATAAGCTTGTTTTGAGTTGTTTTATTTATGAATGAAAAGAAGGAAATATGTATTATTTCTTTTATTTTACAGTTAAATTATTATTTATGTAATTAGGGTTTTTTGTAATCTTAAATGTTCTTAAATGTTAAACTGTCGACCTCTTACACTTCAATTTAAAAAAAAGGACCTTGTGGAATTTGGCAGATTTGTTTTTGCAGTTTATAGTTTTAGGGGGTTATTTTTTCTTGAACATATATCGAGATATATATCGTATATCGAGATATAGCAAAATATATCGAGATATATTTTTTGATCCATATCGCCCAGCCCTAACCAGGAGTGTCGGAACGGGCCTGGAGGTGCGCCCAGGTAGACTGTCGGGTGACTGCACACCCTGCTCCACGTGCTCAGGGTTCTCTTCCTCACGCTCAAATCCAAGATTAGACCTGGATTAGACCTGGTTTAGATCTGGTTTAGACCTGGTTTAGATCTGGTTTAGACCTGGTTTATCTGGTTTAGACCTGGTGTAGCCCTGGTGTAGCCCTGGTGTAGCCCTGGTTTAGAACAGATTTAGAACAGATTTAGTCCTGGTTCAGTGCTGTTTCAATTCTGTTCCAGTCCTCCTGTTCCAGTCCTTCTGGTTCAATCCTCCTGAATGCACCTCCAGACTCATGTCACTCACATGTGCTTGTTTACAAGATTCATGTGTGCAACACTGAGGCGCTGCTTTAAATAAAATGCTTTTGTGTCTGACCCACAACTACTGACTATAAGTAAAAGTGAACTTCAGTGCAGTTTAGGCCAGCGACAAAACTACTACTTGTTTTTTTTTTTTTAAATCAAACTTATTAGTGAAGACTTGTGATCTGAGAGGAGCCTATGTGAGCAGTGAGTGTTGCAAAATGTGTCAGTTTTTAAGCAATTTTTCATTCTTTCTCATTGGTTAGCGATTAGCTGCTGTAATATACCACATATAAACAGCTTTCTCTTACACTGGCCTAGTGTAAAGCGACTATAGTGCCTGTACACATGTTACTGGAGTTGCATTTATATGTAAATGAACTGTGAATAGAAGTGTGAATGATTGGCATTTACACATATAATTAATTACCACTGCGCACATGCATTTACTTTTAAAGGCTGATAGCAGTAGTTTACTTATTTTACTGACTAGAATGTGATCCAAAAATGCCATTGGTCCGACCTACTGTCTTTAAATATGACTGTAAAAAGGCAGAACAACAATAAATGTCGCCTAAACAAACCTAATTTAAAATCCAATTGAACCAGACTTAAGTTTTAGAATCAACTGAAGATTTACAAAGAATTTTTACATCACTAAATATATCGGCACCTCCACCTCACATTTTATCGGTTTCATATCGACCGCAAATAAATCCATAACGGTCAAGCCCTGTTATTTATCTTTTAAGTAACTCCAGAACAGTTTTGTGTAAATAAAATTCAAACATTCTGAGACTTTCTGAGCTGACTACTTCTTATTACATCAGTTTCAGCCCATTCAGGATATCGACTGAACCGATATTTGAAAGCTGATATTCAAAACAGTATTTTTTTCAGTACCAGCGCCAATGTCCGAAACCATTATTGGATCGGTGTGTTCCTAAAATACACAGTCATAGAGGAAGTTTATTTTTAAGAGGGTGGAAAGATAAAAAAAAAAAAAGAAAACAATTACTTAGAAGTTAGAAAATCACAAAGGATGTCATTTTAGTAATCACATGTCTGGCGTTGTCACATGTGGTTGATGGGGCCACAGGGCAGATCCCGTGGCAGAAGCAGTTTAACAGATAATAGCCTGATATAAACACGCTCGGAAAAAAATTTGTCAAGCTCGTAAAGCACGTGTCGAACCTGAATCATAATTAGCGTGATTTGTGTCGTCTCTCGAAAAGAAATGCACTTTCACTAAAACACAGTTAACGTCATTAGATTTCAAATTTGACTACGTTTTTTTGGTACTTTTTCAACATTTTGATCTTCCTCCTTTATTATTTATTACACAAAACTGACTCCTGTGAGCTTTAAGCCTTTTTATAATGTTGTTTCCTCATCACAAACACACTGGAGTGGTTTTTTTGTACCATTCACACATGTTTGAGTAACACTTTATTATTAGTCTGTCTACATCTCTACATGAAGTTTTCAAGTTAACAGCTACTTTTACCTTTAGTTCTGCAGAGACCGGCAATTCCAGAGCTAAAACAATGTGTTAAACATGAGTAAATGAAACAAAACACAACTGCAGGTCTGTTTGTGATAAGGAAACATTATAATATAGATCAGAAAATCGAATAAAATAGGATCTTTAACGATTTGACGTAGAGGTAAAAGGTAATTCCATCTTACCCAGCAACCATAATGACAACAAGGACCAAAACATGTCTAAGATACATAATAGTTATTATTAGATTGATAAAAACAAAACAAAAAAACAACAGAAAAAACTCGTAGAGGTATTCCATTTCAGAACTCAGAGCTACTGACCTGAATCTAGACCTGTCACACACATTTTTAATCACAATATATCGCTACTAGTGTTGTTCCGATACCATTTTTTGGGATCCGATCTGATACCAATACTCAGGGTTTCCACTCTTTTTCACTGACAAAACTTTTCCATTCCTTTTTTATGACCTAAAGTGAATTTTCCATGACTTTACAGCACCTACATGTGTAGAATTGATCATACTTTTAGGGCTAAATATAAAATGTTAACCCTTTCCACTCACCTTATGGTTTGGTTTTATAGTTTTTTAACATTCCAAATCCTGTCAGTGCATTTATTGTTGTCTCTTTTAAACAAAAGGCGCAAATGCTCGAAAATAATCATAATATCCTAATGACAATGTAACAGAACACTGTAGTGATGTGAAAGAGATACTAAAATTCCATTAGAGGCCTGAAAAATTACATTTTCAATTTCCATAACTTTTCCAGGATTTCCATGACCGTGGGATCTCTGAATACTTGGCCTTAGTGTACTCGTTGATACAGATATCAGTCCAATTCCATATAGAAGAAGCAGACTGAGGCTACTCGATTTTGTTACAGTACAAGAGCAATAAATAAATCCACTAAAAGGCTAAAATCTCTAAAGAAAATCTTGAAGAATAAAATAGATTTTAAGAACTAAGTGTCAAAAGTCAATTATATAATGATTCTGACTATGAGTAGCGCTGATTTAAGCACTTATACTTTTCTATTTTGTTACTTTCTAGCGCAGTGCATGGATAAAAACAACAGTGAGGCCTGTAAAAAAGACGCTCGTCCTCAGAGCACAAGGCTAATTATGCAGAGTAAACAAAGTCTGTTAGCGCTTTTGTCTGGCTCCAGTTTCTTTACTTTCTTTCCAAGTTGAGCGTCCACACTAAAAGCTTAAAAGAAGGTGTCAAAGAGGTAACACAAATGTCTTTTCTGTCATTCTCAGCATGTTTTAAGTCTCTGCAAAGCCTCCAAAGTCTATGTTTAACCTGCTGTTTACAATCCAGGTAAACAGCAGCTGGGCTCACATCTACAGGTCCTCCTTGTGGAAAATAGAGTGGTATCAGATTGGTGATTTGATCTAAGTACTTGCTGATTCAGACACCTGAAAAATATGCGACATCAGAGCTTTTCCCGATACAGTATTGTATTGGAACCATATTTAAATAGACAGTATCATTCGAAAGGCCTGAGCTGCAACATAAATAACAGAATGGACTATTATTGGTCAGTAAATTCAGCTCAAATGTAACTGGAATAGTACAAGATCTCCCCAAGAAAAAGTGCCCATGATAAATACCGTATTTTCCGCACCATAGCACACTCCATCAAAAAACGAATCCACTTGGGTGTCGCAGCACGACTTCAGTAAACTACAAAGCCACACCACCTGCAGCGCACGCAAACACACATGGAGCAGTCATCACTCCACGCCGACGAGGAACGGAACGGAGGAACGAACCGAAAAAGCGAGTGCAACGTGCCACTTCTAAGACACAACTGAACAACTGAGTCACTGCGAACACGCCGACAATCCAGCGGTCCCAGACAGCACCCTCCCTACACGCCACAACTGAACAAAGCCCAGAGTCACCGTGAACGCCACAAACAAAGTCCCACTGACCCATCCAACTGTTGTGTTTCCTTTAAAGTCCGGTGTGGTTTATTTGTGAAAAAAGTTCGAAAATAGACCATTCAATGACAGTGCGCCTAATAGTTCGGAAAATACGGTAATGAGTCCCAAAATATACAATTCCAGCTTTTGTGTACTGAACGATGAGCGGATATAGTCCAGACGAACCTGAATCCGAACATGATCTCGTCGTGCCGGAGGTGAGCGTCGTCGTCGATGGACAGGATGGCCTCGGTCTCCACGGCGTCCCAGGGCAGGAAGCGGTTGTTCAGGCTGTTCTTCTCCGTGTGGACGACCTGAGTCACAGACACGATTCAAATCAGTGAGAAGTGTAGCAAACGATGACACAATAACGGCCAATAACTATAATTTTGGCCAAGGTTAAATGTAATAAGTCCATAATGTTATAAATATGGTGACTCAATAACTTGTCAAGTCTTGCAAATAATGTAATAAGTCAGTGGCTCTCAACCCCCCTAAGACTCAGGCTTCACAGCAAGAAGGTTCCTGGTTCTAACCCCTGTTTGCATGTTCTGCCTGTGTGTGTGTGTGGTTTTCCTCTGAGCACACGGATTTCGGAACCCAGAACATGCACAACAGGTCAAATCCTCCAGATAAGGTAATCTGGACCGGATCAAGACTGGTCTCAAGCCTGATCTGAGTCCCGGTCTGAGTCCCGGTCTCCCAAGGGTCTACGTGGGTGCACCTCCAGGCCCGTCCCGACACTCAGTCCCGTTTTAGTCCCGTTTTAGTCCCGGTTCAGTCCCGGTTTCAGTCCCGGTTCAGTCCCGGTTCAGTCCCGGTTCAGTCCGAGTTAAGACCTGCTTCAGAACTGCTTCAGTCCTGTTTTAGACCCGTTTTAGTCCTGGTTCAGTCCTGGTTCAGACCTGGTTCAGACCTGGCTTAGTCCTGTTTTAGTCTCGTTTTAGTCCCGCTTCAGTCCCGGTTCAGTCCCGCTTCAGTCCCGCTTCAGTCCGCTTCAGTCCCGCTTCAGTCCGCTTCAGTCCCGCTTCAGTCCCGTTTTAGACCTGTTTTAGACCTGTTTTAGAACTGGTCAGGCCTGGTTCAGCCCTGTTTTAGTCCTGGTTCAGTCCTGGGATCAGCCCGGCATCGCAGTTTAAGTCACGGAAACATAAAACAGACGTTATTTGTTTTTTCCATTATTCATTTAAACACAGAATCGAAAATTGAAAAAACGAATCATTATGTGTTTTTTCATTTTGATTTTGGAGACAAATAATGAAGAAAATTATTGTTTTTCCCCGTCTTATTTTCGGTTTTATTTTGAAAAACGAACGAACGAATGAGACACGGATTTAAAAGCCTCAAAAAAAAGCTGATTTTGTGTAATACTACCTCTTTAAACAAAATAACAGGCCTACACGACAAAGACTTTATACTTAAAAAAATGCTTCCTCAACATTTGCAGTATATTTGCGTAGTCGAGGAGGATGGTAGTTGTTAGAAATGCCAGGTGACTAATCCCAGTCTGCCCCGCCTCGCATTGTGTACTTAAGCCACACTTTGATTTATTTTGTATAACACTTTGATTAACTTTGTCTAGTACTTTGATTTACCTTGTATGAATTGTGCTGTATAAATAAACCTGCTTTGCCTTGCGATTAGCCTGATTAGTGGTTAGGACACTGATTGTTTATGAAGGTTAAAGAACAGGTTTCTGTCAGTAACGGGATTTTCGGCTCCTTTGTGAGATCCCAGTCTTTTTTGGTTCTGTTCATGCCAAAGAACCGTTCAAAAGACTTTTACATTTATTTATACGAGAGCACATTTTTTATACAAACTAATCACAGAGAGAAATGACAAAGGCAAAGATGTGTTTAAAATGGTTCAAACTCAAGAGTGGGGGTGTGTTTACCCTTTGGAATTACGAATCTAAATAAAACGCTGCACTACAATAACAATGAAAAAACTAACTTACTAAACAAGCCAAATACGTTTTTTTGTGAACAAAGCTCTCACTTGTGCTGCCTGCTCTGTTTCTTGTGTTAATCAGTAAAAAATGCGAACAAATTGGAGAGAAATGAGAGTTATTTTAAGGCTATTTTAAAAAATAAGATCCAAAAATTGCACTTTGGAGAGTACTTTCCTAGCAGGATATATTAACTTCCATCTGCGTAATATTTATGCTGACAATATGAAATTATCTGAACATTTGTGTTTCCTGCACCGCTCCTTCAGATATATTTTGTTTTTTTTGTGCCACATTTTGTCCTTTACTTCATGTTTTGTCCTTTAACTTCAAATTCCAAATCACATGTTACATCCCGAAAGTTACTCTTTAAGTTACTCTTGAGTACAAGTTTCCCAAATACTTTTTTTACTTTTACTGCTTACTTCTTGGACCACTACTTTGTATTTCTATTTAAGTAATATTATTTTGAAGTAACATTAAACTTACGTGAGTACATTTTCGGCTACTCTATCCACTTCAGATTTTAACAGATCCTTAAAGTTACTCTTTAAGTTATGTTACTTTTTTATTACTTTTAATACTTACTTAACTTTTAATAATTCTTTGATCATTACTTTTTTACTTCTGCTTGAGTAATATCATTTTGAAATAACGTTACAAATTTTTGGTTACTCTAACCACTTCTGATTTTAACACATCCTGAAAGTTACTCTTTAAGTTACGTATAAGTAGTTCTTTTTTACTCTTACTTCTTTCACCACTACCTTTTACTTCTACTTGAGTAATATTACCTCTGGACTTGTAATTTTTCCCGAATACATTTTATGCTCTTACTACTTACTTGTTGGACCACTACTGTACTTCTTCTCAAGTAATATTACTTTGAAGTAACGTTACACTTACTTACACTGATTAACACAACCTGAAAGTTACTCTTTAGTACAAGCTCCCCAAATACTTTTTTATTCTTACTACTTCCTTTTTACTTCTTTCACAACTACCTTTTACTTCTGCTTGAGTAATATTATTTTGAAGTAATTTGTGGCTACTCTAACCACTTCTGATTTTAAAGTTTTACGAAAATAATACTCTTGAGTAGTACTTTTACACTTGCTACAAAGTTTTTGGACAACTACTGTACTTATACAGTACTTCTAATTCTATTTCTACTTCTTCTTGAGTACTTGTTTACTTATTTACTCTTACTACTAACATCTTCGACCACAACTTTATACTTCTACTTAATGTTATTTTGAAGTAACGTTACACTTACTTGAGAACATTTTGGGCTACTAAATCCACCCGTTTTTAACTGTTCTGTGTTTTGTCTCTCACCACGATGGGCAGTCCGATGTCCGGCCACAGCAGGTCTTCTGAAGGGGGCTTGGGCGAGTTCCACACCACCACCACTTTGTTGAGGTAGGGCAGCCCGTTGAGCCTCTCCAGAGAGTTCATGAGCACCTCCTCCCTCTCGTAGGTCAGCATCACCACGGTGAACTGTTCCCGGGGCATGTTCCCGCCCAGAGCCGCCTGGAACTCCTTCCCCGAGCCCCCCGTCCCGCCTCCGATCGGCCTGAACCCGGTGCCCGAGCCCATGAACTTGGCCTCTGAGGGCAGGACGGGGTCTAGAGGAGTGTGGGGGAACAGGTGGAAGGGCCCGGGCGCACGGTTCCACGTCCTGTACGGAAATCAGAAATGGGATTAAATGGGATTATGGATGTAATATTAGATTCATAATAATTCTAGAACAGAGGTGTCAAACTGAGAGGGCTAAAATTAAAAACTGGGACTAAGTCGTGGGCCAAACTAAATATTTATTGAAAAACCGTTTTCTCTTCTTTCGAGATATGTAATGTTGAGTCTTTTCTTATTAAAATAAATGTTTAATAATAATTTTGCTTAAACACTGAATCCAGAGCAAGCACAATATAAAATAATAACAACATTTTAAATAAATAATGCCTCTGTAGCCTATCTGCAGCTTTTGAATTCCTTTTAAATGTTTTTTTTTTTTTTCACAAGCCAACAACCAGTCAAAAATAACAACTTGCTTCAATGAAAATCCAATCTTTCAACTATGAACAGTCAAAAGCCATAAAGAAAACATTCATCCAAGCTCAGTTTGCTAGACTGTGATTTACAAAGCAGAAACTTGGCATCTCTTCTTAGATACATGTTCATCAAAGTAGTAGTATTAGTAGTAGTATTAGCGGTGCATGCACCATACTGATGCAGCAGCTGGTGGGCAGCTCTAATACATATTTGATATGATCTCGCTGGCCAAATATAATTATATCGTGGGAGTCTGACATGTCTGTTCTAGAAGGGTAATTGTAAGAACAGATGGTGATTTCAATTTAAAAATTTGTAATTTCACAAATTTGGTCCCATCAATGTATGTTTCAGCTCTGTATAAACTGTATGACACCTGCGTTTCTACACTAACTAAATGATTCTCTTTTGAAACAGGCTGAATTAATTAATCTTGATGAATAACTACGGGTGAGGGGAAAAAATTAAGAAAATGAATTAATCACAGATATGAAAAAATGTGATTAAAACAGCCTAATTAATTGCAGTTAATCTTGATTAATCTTAATTGGCATGCACCAAATTGGCAATTTCGAGTAAAACATTGAATAACACTTAAACATATCTTCACTGACAAAGTTGTTTATAAATACCCAAGTGTTTTGTCTATTCTACTTGACATAGGTCTGTGAATGAAGAAAACTTGATATTTTATAGCCTACTTGATAAACAAAAGGTTTAATAAGGTCTACACAATAAACTGTAGATCATTTAAGATTTAGTCCTGTTTAGTTTGTTCCTTGTGTCTAATGTGTCAAATTTATTGGAAAATTAAATAAATAAAACAAACCAACAGGCCAATTTTCCCAGTCCTAATAATAACCCAGATCTAAAAAAGAAGCTGCAGGATTTTTCATCTCAATATATTCTGAAATATACAACCCTTACCCTTTTTGTTTTAATAAATAAATAATAATAAAGTATAATAAATAATAATAAAGGGAAGCAAAAGGAGAAATTTGTCAGCTGGACACTGGAAACTTTTGTCCAGTTGACAACTTCAGCCTAAACCCTTTCGGTCATGATCTATGGGATTGATGTTTTGTTTTGTTTTGTAGTGCTGCAAAATGACTGAATAAACTAGTACTAGTAATTATTACTACTACAAATTGAATTTCTCTTTTTGCCATGAAATCTACCTGGACGACTGAGGGATTTTACACATAAATAAGAGAACCAACTACTCAGCTATTATTGTGACTGAAATAAACTAAAGATTGGCGTCAACAACAATGACCAAGTTTCATCTTAACAATAATCGAAACACAAAAAACATTCGACAGTCTCACCTGTAGATGTCCGACGCTGTGTAGGTGAAGTTTCGGAGGAACCGTGGTGACGCGTACGGAGGCTCGGTCTCCACTGGCCCCAAATCCAGGTCGGCATTGTCGGCTAGGTTCGCATCCGTCCCGGCTATCTTCCCAGCCTTGTGCGGGATCTCCTGCACGGGCTCCTCTTTGATTGGAGCCGCTGGGATTTGTATGCTAGTTCTGATGCTAGCTAGAATAGTATTTAGGACATTTTCTGAGGTTGAAAAATAAGCCTCCCACAAGAACCTCCCCTGCCGCCGCATCGCCAGCAGGTCGTTGTCTGACAAGCTACGCAACAGAAAATGTAGCTCCGTCACTCGGGGTTTGGGGACAATAATAGTCGCTTCACTCCAACGGATTAAGTGGTGGTACGGGAGTCTTAAATGATCGCCCAAAATTACAGGTATGGCGCCAACTTCCAGCGCTTCGAATAGCCTCATGCCACAGCCAGCTGAAGCTATGACTTGTCCATCTCCTGGAGCAATGACCAAAGCAAAGGTCGAAACTTTAAGAACTTCCAAGCGGTCTTCCCTCGTCCCGCAAAGAGACCACTCGGTAGGCAAGCTCGGCTGAGGACTCTTGCAGGTAAACTCCACCAAAACCTGATCCAAGTGGCTATCCTGAACCGCTTTTAAGGTGCCGATGATGCGGTCGTCATAGTCCGCAGGCGGGTCTCCTTCGATCTCCTCTTCGAACGACTGTGGAGGCGCCTCTTGCAAACTGGTCCTTAGAGACTCCACCCGCTCCCCTTGGAAAGTGAACAGGTACTTCCTCTTGACGGGAACCTGCGGAGGGATTTCTAAGAAGTTGGGCTCAGAAAGCGCGTGGACTAACGGCGAAACCACCAAGTCGAACCCCTCGCGGTACTGCTGCTCCAGGAAGGTTGACTGCGCCACCGCCGCCCTCCCCGTGCTCACGTTGTACACGAAGTTCTGAACGGTGGAAGTCCTGGAAAAGTGGACCAAGACGTGGTTGTGTCCGTCGTTCCTCCAGTACGGAAGAGCTTTGAGCTGCTTTTCCAGATCTGAAGGTGGCGGTAGCTTGGAGGATTCCTGGAGCTCGCCTACAAGAACCAAGTAAAGACAGGCGATGCTGGGGTTGTCGGTTATGTAGATGTTGCTTTTCGCTGCTGCCAAAAAAGCCTGTTTCACAAGTGGATCTATAAGGTCTCCCCACGGGTAAGACGCGGGGTCGTAGACGTACACAGGGAAGCCGGAGGTGATGGGGCAGCGGGCGTAGTCGAAGCAGGAGTGAAGACGGCAAGAGCGGGATGATTTGGGCGGAGGCATTCCTGGATCCTCCTTATCTGGGAATAATCTAACCGGTAGTGACAATTTAGGCTGGTTTTGCGCCATCAGTTCTTTGTACGAATGCTCGGTTTGGCTGATGACGTTTTTAAGCTGTAGGAGGTCTTGTTTCGCGCTGTCGATGCTCCTCTTGCAAGCCTCGATCCGCAGGTTGAGTCGGGCAATCTCTCCATTGAGCTCCTGCCTCTTGGCCTCCAGCTGCAGCAGCTCCTCGCTGACCGACTCGCGGATCCGGCAGAGGTCTTGCACGTGCTTGGCCTCGCACAGCTCCCCTCCGGGCCGCGGGCCGAAGATGCGCTTGTCCGGCCCCCCGGCTTCGTCGATGGTGGTCAGGTAGTAGTGGGCGATGAGCGGGAAGAAGACCAGGATGAAGAAGAGCATGAAGCTGAGCCAGGTGAGACGGACGCGGCGCAGCACCCATGGCTGGCCCCCCGTGGAGCCGCCCCCTCCGCCGGTACGCAGCATTTTTCAGTCCGCTCCTCGCCCAGGCAGACTCGGGCGGGCGTCAGCAGCAGCCATGATACGACCTTGTCAGGAGCAGCGCACCGACGCTAATACGAAGCAAAAAGCAGTGCTCTCCTGCCGCAATGTCTCCGCTGAGCTCTTCAAGGGGGGAAAGGGCAAGTCTCACCTCACATTACTCTCCAAGGGGTCGGAATGAATGAGCAATGAAGCCATGTCTGTGGAGATAAAACGTCTTTCTTTGAGGTCTATGTGAAGAGCGAGGGCAGCATGAGGGCGGCTGTGGCCCTCAGAGGATGAAGCAAGACGCGCATGGTGCTCAGTGACAGACGGGGCGATGTGGAGGTCTGTCCCTGGGGAGCATGGTTGGATCAGTGAAGGCTGCTCCTCACACCAGGGCCCTGGAAGAGAAGGAGAAAAGGATTAGTCATGTAGGAACACACTCTGCACAAGTTATGAGACAAACATTTGATGTATTTTGGGCTGCAGAAGCAATAAACTATTAATTTACAACAAACCTCTATAGCCATCTCTCTCAGACATGGTGAGTTTATTCCAATTCTACTAAAAGAGAGCACAAAGTCCAGGCTATGGTGCTAAAAACTAAGGCTGGGTATCAATCAGAAGTTGTCGAAACGATACATATCTCGATACAGTGAGCTTACGATTCAGTACAATATATTTCTTTTTTTTTTTTCATTTATGTTTTTATCAGAAAAGGTTTGCATCAAAGATTGGATTCCTTTTTTTTTTTTTTTTACAACAAAATAAAAAGAGAAAAAAAGTCAAACAAACAAACTAATAACAGTGTGAGGTGGCCAACTTGGAAGCATTTACCAGACATTTCAACCCTTCAAGATCAACAAATTCGGTGAGTATGGATGAAGTCAGGGGATCCATACCCTTGTTACCTGGTACATTTACAAAAAGTCAATAAAAATCAGCCCAAAAGGGGGATACAAACTGGATTAATTTAGAATTTTCCCCTTTGTAGTCTTAGAGTATATGTCAGTTTTTCCATTTTATAAATTTCTAAAACTATACCAAACCAGTCCTCAAGTGTTGGGGGGGTTGGATTTAGCTATTTCCTACAGTAGTTATTGATTTTTTGCTGGCTGCTAAAAGTGCCTGTAGTTGTTTCAGTACAATACATTTCAAATCGATTCGATACAGTTCAATAAAAATAAAGGCTAAATCATGGCTGTAATACTGAAAGTCTTTGTTTAAACCACTTCTTGTGCAAAGTTAAAATGAAACACAAACATTTAATCATCAGAACAGGGAAAATGTCAAATGTGCAGCTTGTTGCTGCAACAAAACTGTAGCGTTGTGACAAAATAAATGAGTAAAATACACCAAAAAACAGTCTTGGTGTTATATCGATACAGCAGCCCACGATATCGATACTGTATCATCACATTAAACGATACAGTAGATCGATATTTCAATATTTTTGCACACCCCTACTAACTAACCACTCTGTTAACCCATTTACAGTCATCTACTGTAACATTATACAAAACATAATCTTACCAAGACAGTTTCCACAATACAAGAGGGTTCATGAGAGCAAGACAGGACGAGATTTTAACATACCATATTTTCAGCACTATAGGACGCACTCTTAAGCCTCCAACCCCATTAAAAAATGACTGCGCAGCCCAAAAAAATCCAGAGTGTCCTACACACGAATCCTCTCAAGTGTCCCAGCACAACTTCAATAAACTACAAAGCCGCACCACCAGCAGCGCACGCAAACACGGAGCAGACAACGACCTCATCGCTCCACGCCGACGAGGAACGGAACGGAGGAATGAACCGAAAAAGCGAGTGCAATGTGCCACTTCTAGACACAACTGAACAACTGAGTCACTGCGAACACGCCGACAATCCAGCGGTCCCAGACACACCCTCCCTACACGCCACAACTGAACAAAGCCCAGAGTCACCGTGAACGCGCCAAACAAAGTCCAACTGACCCATCCAACTGTTGTGTTTCGTTTAAAGTCCGGTGCGGTTTATTTGTGAAAAAAGTTTGAAAATAGACCATTTAATGACAGTGCGCCTTATAATCCAGAGCGCCTAATAGTGCGGGAAATACACATAAATTGTGCGAATTTTGGCCTCACATTTTTTATGAAGCATTTCTGTTGCTACTACTTCAACTTCTAGATTTAACTTCTTACAAAAAGAGATTTAAGTCATCACAAACTTATCACGAAACCCTTTTTTGTCCAACCTTTATTGTCCAAAATGTAAACGCAATCTCACAAGATCGTTTTTTCACGTGTTCACAATCTTGCGACGATTTTTATCTTCTCTCATCCCTATCATCTTCTAATTATTGTGATTTATAATGGCATAAAACTTGGCATGAATTTTCTATCCCCCAAAACTGCGTGCTCCAAAGTGCCTATTTGTGCCATTTTTCTGTTTTCTCATATTTCCGTCTGCTTAGAGAGGTGAAATCCAGTCTACTACACCAGACACAGCCCCGGCAAATCTCCTCCAAACGTCTGCATCATCCGGCCCTCGTCGCGGTCTCAGATTACCCACAGCAGCATCACAGAGCGGCTCTATCAAACCAGGGACACCCAATCATCGGCATCAGAGCAGCGCCGCCCCGGGCTCGTCTTTCACACTCAAATGACTCATGTTTGATTTCTCTGCGGCCTCAACAGGTCGCCCAGAGCTTGTTTACATTCTAAAAGCTTGGTGAAAATTATCCGTCATTCGTGTCCGCGGGCGTTTATGATTGGTAAAAAGTTTAAACATAGCGAGCTGGTGAATTCTAAAGGTTTTGAGTAAGAAAAAAGCAACTATGAGAATTTGCTAAAATGTTATCTATGATATAAAAAGAACTGATGCGGCCAGAGTGGAGTGATGCTTTCCTAGTAAAGTCAACAACAACCAGCAAACCAAGACTGCATTTCCTGATTATAAAGTGTTTTATTGTCCAAAAATTAGATGCAGACAGTACACAGCTGTCTTATATTGTATAAGCAGCTCTTGAGGTCAAAAATATCAGTACTGGGGCCTTATTTTGGTCGTAAAATGTTCATATTAACCCTCTCTATGTGATCCTGGTGTTTTTATTGGAGATTTTCGATTATTATTACTTCCGCCAAGGAGGTTATGTTTTTGCCGGCGTTTGTCTGTTTGTTTGTTTGTCTGTTAGCAACATAACTCAAAAAGTTATATACCGATTTTGATGAAATTTTCAGGATTTGTTGGAAATGTGAAAAGGAAGAACTGATTTCATTTTGGGGGTGATCCGGAAGAAATCCTGGATTCTGGATCACTTTGAAATTTTAGTTAACATTGTGGTAAATGGGGCCAAAAATTTTGTTTCTCAATATCTCGATTAATTATTGACCAAACCCCATGAAATTTGACTCAGGGATGGACAATGGGATCCTCTTTCATATTCCAAATTGAAAAATACGAGACAAATATTTATGGAAAACACAATTAATATGAGGGGGAATGTAGTCCTTGGCGGAGGTCTGCGCTCTCTGAGTGCTTTTCTAGTTATGAATGTGCCTTTACAGAACATGTTCAAAATTCGAAAGAGCCAATATGAGCTCAGAGACACAAGAAAATTAGAACAAACATTATGAAATTTTGTGTATTTGTTAAAGGGCTGGGGCTCTGGAACAACTGTACAGAAAATCTAAAAGAGTGCACCAGTCTCTTTCACTTTATAAAGAAGTTTAAATGTTTAACTCTGGACAGACACATGAATTATGATACTTAGTTTGTGCTTTAGTACTTTGTTGTTCTGTTTATGATTTGTTTGTTTCCTCTTGGTGTATTTATGAAGATGAACTGGTGTTAAGATGACGCTCTGACAAAGGAATAAAGGGTAAAGGGCAGAATAAGCTTAAGCTTCAGCCTGCACCTTTTTCGGTCTGTGTATTTAGTTAAATATGACTGTCTGAATTAATGTCAAAATATACCAGTGACCCAAATAAATAATCAATCAATCAATCAATGTTTTTATATTAAAATTATCGTAGTTATTATTACTATTACTAATCTGCATAAATAAACTCAACTTTACAACATATAAACCGTAACCACTCTAGAGCCACATCAGCCCGTTTGACATTATAATGTGTTTAATGCAGCTTTGACACATTTGTTTACATTTTACAGAAACGAAACTTAAAACCACATGACTCATTTGCATAAAAGAGAAAAAAAAAGAAAACGCTACTGTGCGCTTTCAGCTTCTGTCGGACTAAAGGACACGACTCATTGGAATATGAGTGTTCTTTCTGTGACACAGGGATGTCAATGCTGAAGATGAGTCTGTTTTGTGTGTCGTGATGTTTTCAAAGATGGTACGTGTGCAGGTTTAGCGCAGCTCTTTATGTTGCAGTAACCGGGATACTGCGTAAACATGCACAAAGACGAAACCAGTGATCTCCAAGGAGGTGCGTCAGAGCTCAAACGTGGGACTGAGGCCTCAACTCCGGTGTTTGCGCTGTCAGACGCAGCTTCGTATCTACGCACAGAAACCTACATTCGCTTTGTTGATAAGAAATGAACGTACTCGACGAAATTCTTAATGATCAGTTATCGATTAGTCAACTAATAATGCCCATTCCTACCACCAACTGTCCTCCTCACTCTGTCCTCCCGACGTCAACTTCACTGCTTATTATTCATCTCTAAATGCATTAATCTCAGTTTTCCTGAATATCTCAAACAGTATTTAACTCCATTCAGATCCTCTTACAATTTACGTCACGCAGATCAGATATTTTTTGTTGTCCCCAGAGTCAAAAAACAAATAGGTACTACTACTACTACTACTACTGCTACTGCTGCTACTGCTACTCCTCCTAATACCGTTACTACTACTACTACTACCGCTACTACTACTACTGTACTACTGCCTTTTACAAAACTACAAAAACTACAAAACCATACCTATTACTGCTCCTACTGCTGCAGCTGCTACTATAGTTTAAATATAAAGCTCCCTCTGATTGGGATGATCTTACCTCATTGATTCGTGCATTAACTTCTGTCCGTGCATTTAAAAACGCTCTGGTTCAATATTTACAGAACCCGTGTCATTGTTTTTGATCATTATGTTGAATTTTGTTGTTCATCTTGTTGTATTTTGTGACTATATTTGAACTCTGCCTTAGTTTTTGTTCACATTTGATTTATTATGAGTCCAACAGTCAAGGGTGTGTGTGTATGGTTATGAGGATTTTGTTGGTTTGATGTTTATTTCAATTTATATATCCGACTGTCTGCCCTATTGTATCCGTCTTTTGCTTTTGTAACTATGAGGACACCCTTGAAAACGAGATGGCGAGACATCTCAAGGAGCTTATCCTCCAAACAAATAAATTCAAAATTCATATAAGCAGCTCTTGACGTC